CCACACACACACACACACACACACACACTCGCACACACACACACACACTCACACACGCGCCTCTTAAAGGCGCATGCATGTCACATGTTGGCTACAAATTATTCTTACAGTTACTGAACTGTGCTTTGGCAGAGTTTCTATCACTCACCAGCAGAGGACGCTCGTGTGCCACTAAATGGTTCCATTTACTACACTTGCATGTAATGAAAGCATACCGGTGCAATTATGTAAATACGTCTTGGACATCAATGGAAAGATTTCCACCACGCCCTTTGTTCTTACTCATGCCCTTATGATGTATTTATTTTGTAAACGTGCGTTGATAACCACGCAGCGCTCTGCATCCGTAATTGCCCCTTGGGAATTTAAAAAAAAAAAAAAAAAAAAAAAAAGGTTTTCGGCAAAATTTGTAATAACCTGTGTGTTCATCTGCATTTGTTGCTTGCAGCGCAGTCTTTCTTTCTCCTTCCGCTGCTGCGTGACCAAGCTCAGCAAGCCTGTAACACCAAAAAAAAAAAAAAAAAAAAAAAAAAAAGGCATAACTTAAGAGTTAAAATAAGAAGTTTCATTCATTTCCTTAAATCAACTGTTTTTTTTTTTCTCGTGACCTTTCCGGTTGCGGTGAAGCTATTGGACAAATAAGCACCTCTGCAGATCCCCCCACCCCCACCCCAAAAAAACAAAACAATACTGGACTGTGGCGGCGCTACCTAGACGCGGGTGGAGCCATGTGGTGCTCTTATTTACGTGATCGATGTAGTACACGTCCCCTTCGGCAGTGGCGGCCCGCTCCCAGCCTTCAGGCAGCCCACCTGAACAGCAGCGAGAGCACACATGAGCAGGAGAAGACGCACAAGATGAGCCCCTTTCTTTCTTTTTTAATTTTTTTTGTATGCCCTCTGAGCAAAGGATTGTGGGCAAAGAAACACCGCATGAAACGACAAAGTATTCGTCGGATACAGTGATGGCCTTGAGATACGAGCGCTGTGTGGCGGCAGTGAACTTAGTTCAACTGCCGTTAAACTTAGCAAGTTTAACTTAGTTCACAATAACAGTTTGGCAAAAATAGTGAACAATTTAACCCCCCCCCAAAAAAAAAGTATCACAATGCCATTTCGTGTTTACTGTCGAGGTGAGTTTACAGTGCTTAAGTACAGTCCAGTGACTAAAGTGATTAAAGCTGACAATGGTTTTGGAATTTTCCTTATATAGTTAATTTTTATTTTGAGTGTTCTTTTTTTTTTTTTTTTTTAGTTTGCTGTACTTCATTTTCAGAGCGGCTTTGTTAGTTTTGATGATGACTTTTTTGAAAATGCTTTGTTTTAGTTTTTAATTGGTTTTAGTATTAGTTTTAGGTTTTTCCAGTTTGTTTATTTTTTGTGTGCTAGATTAAAAAAAAAAAGAGAAAGAAAAAGTACGATAAGTATTGTGTAGTAAAAACAGCCCAAATATTGGATTTTTTTTTTAACGAAAACCATGCACAAATCAAATCCAGCTACTGTATGAGAGTCCGCAAACGAAGTACATGAAGTGCAGCGCACAGCACTGTTTCGAAAGTTAGATGCATCGCAACCCGAACGTCACCTTGTTTGCCAACTTCTAACGTTGCATTTGTGGCTTGAACTCCTGTGGAGGTAAACCCCATTGTGCGATATCCGATTTATAACGTTGAAGGAAACGCCACATATGAAGTGCCGACAAGTTCATTCATGTTTGTCAAATGACAAGAAACTCCTATTGCATCATATCCGCCAGCTGAGCCGTACCATCGACAAACTCGAACTGAACGGTAAGCCCAGGGACTGAAAGAGAACGGGAGAAGCTCCACCAATTTCATGTTCTTGTGACTTTGTTTCTTGCAAGGATTTGGGAATGATACCTGCGTCTGGATTGCAGTTGGGCGGCGTGGTGGCCGTGGCCGGGTTGCTCAGGGAGTGGGCGTGGACGGGGGACGGGCTGGGCTGCGGCGGGGCGGCTGACTGGAGCTGTGTCAGCCGGGGGTCGTGCCAGGTGGTGGTCTTGTCCAGGTGGCTGCACGTACACACGCGCACGCACACCAAGTCAGAACAATGACTTGAAGAAACGAGACTGGATTGACCAGTATGACAACAGGTGCAGCGTGCACGCACGTGAGCGCATGTGAGAGACTCACAAGTCACAGCAATTTGCCATTTTGTAATTTCCACGAACAACGGAGTGCTACTTTGTGACACATGATAGTCTCGTTTTGGGACGGTGGTAGAGTTTCGAGCATTGGTTCGGGGGCCCAGAAAGAGAGGGTTCGATTTTCAAAAGTGGGGTTTTCAGGCAAGGATTACGGTTTTAATTAAGATGGTGTTTTAAATTAGGGTTTCAAGACAGGAGTGTGGTTTCAAACCACAGTCGTGCATTCATGTTAGGGTTTCAAGACAGGGTAGAGGTTTCAAAACACAGGACTAAGGTTTCAAGACAGGGTTCGGGCTTCATTTTAGGGTTTCGAAACAAGGTTAGGGTTTCAAGAGATGATTAGAGTTTCAAAAAAAGGGATGGTGCTTCAATATAAGGTTTCAAACCGGGGTTGTGGTTTCAAATGAAGTTTGAACACTGGATTAGAGTTTCAAGCCTCGGTTAGGGCTTCAAATTAGGGTTTCAAGGCAAGGTTAGCTTTCAAAAGCGTTTAGTGCTTCAATTTAAGGTTTCAAGACAGACTGTTAAGGTACCAATGTTCAAAAACAGCATTCTGGTGTAAAATCAGGTTTCAAGACAGGATTAGGGTTTTCAAAGTCGACTGTCGAGACTGTGTTGGGGTTTCAAATTGGGGTTTTAAACCACAGTTGAGGTTTCAATTTGGGGGTTTTCAAGATAGTTTCAAAGACAGGATTATGGTTTCAAAGTGGCGCTTCAAGACAGGGTTTCAAATTAAATTTGCCACTAAAACTGGATGAGGGTTTCAAACCAGGTTTAGGGCTTCAGGGACTGCAAGGTCACACAGCCGCTCTTACTTGAGGAAGTATCGTTGTCCAGTGGGCGTCTTGGCCATCTCCCAGCCGTGCGGCAACGGCACATCGTCCGGTATGACGGGTGGGGAGGCCGCGGCCGCTGCCACCGCTGCGGCCGCGTCGGGCATGTTGACAGGTAGTGAGGCGGGCGAGGAATGAGCGCGCACGTGGTGAGGCGTGAGGGACGCGCACGCGCCGCCGTCCGAACTGGCCTGACATGGAAGAAAAACAATCACACAATACATCAGATGCTTCAATGAAAGGAAGCGGAACATGTGACAGCGTTATGCTTTTCAATTTGAGTGTCAGGGGAGTGTTAAGCTTTTAAACTAGTGGTGTGGTTTCAAATAAAAATTCGGGTTTCAAGATGGGGTATGGATTTAAATTATGGCTTCACGACTAGAGTGGGGTTTCAAATTTGGAATTCAAGACATAATTGGGGTTTCAAGTTCTTGTTTTAAGCCTGGTTTAGGGGTTCAAACTACAAGTGGGTTTTCCATGGCAAGGTTATGGTTTCAATTTTGGCATTCAAAATAGGATTAAGGTTTCAAGACACTGTTGGGATTTCCCTGTAAGATTGGGGCTTCAGATTAAAGTTTCAAAACAGGTTTAGCATTTCAAGTTAAGATTTCAAATATGAGTTGGAGTTTCAAACCAGAGTGGGTTTTTCAAATATGGATTTCAAAACAAGGTCAGGGTTTCAAATTTAGGATTCAAGACAGGATTCGGTATTCAGGTGAAGGTTTCAAACCAGTGCTAAGGTTTCAAGACAAGTTTAGGGTTTCAAGTTAGTGTTTTAAAACATGGCTAGTGCTTCAGGTTAAGTTTCCAAAACTGAATTTGGGTTTCAAACCAGGATGGTGTTTTCAAATTAGGGCTTCAAGAACAACAATGAGTTTCAATTTAGGCGTTCAAGACGGGGGTTAAGGATTCACGTTGGAGTTGGATAAGAAAAGGAATCAAAATAGGGCTCAGGTTATTTTATTTTTTTTTTTTACAGGCAATGTGAAAGGGTCTATAGTTTTGACCACTTATTTATACACTTGAATGGCAATGTTTACTATCATCCGGGTTGCACGAAAGGTTCGTTCAATACCTGTCTGGAGTGCGAGCGGGGGTCCGGAGGCTTGAAGAAGGAGTCGGGCAACTTCCGCATCCTCATGGGCAGCGAGGCCGGCTGCTGGGGGGCCTTGGCCGGGTTCATGACGGCGCTGAACAGGGCCTCCAGCTCGCTCTGGGAGTCGCCGCGGACGTGCACCACTTGCTGGCCGGCCGGGGGCGCGCTGCCGCCGCCACGGTGCGCGTCCATGTGGGTGGCTTTTTTGTGTGCGAGTGTGTGCGCCGGTCACACGATTGACAACAACAAAAAGCTGCAAAACAACACCTCAAAATTAAGAATACGCGTGGACGTCGCGGGGGCATGGGATGAGGCAAAAGTTGCGAGACAATGCGTGACGTGGTGATTGGATTGTTTACACTACTCCCCCACTTTGGTCTGGTCTCCCCACGCCCCAGCTGAACTTAATCAGAAGTTATTCAGAAGTTCTTTTGAAACACGGAATCAACACGCGAGAAAGTGCGTGGGTGTGTGTGGAAAAAAAATAGGAAAAAGTGCACACTACATGCCTCCCACATACCTTCACGCAGACAGTCCGTCTCCCGCACTCTCTCTTCGTTGAGATCCACGCTCAGGGTTCGAGGGGGGGAAAAAAAAACAAGAACAAAAACAGTATGCCACCTCTCCTCAAGGAAGAAATCCGCGCAGCGTGAAGTGGAACAAAGTGCGTGGAACAAATCACGACGACTCGTCCAAACTTTTCGTGCGCGTGTGTGCGCGTGCACATCCACGTTCCTGTGATAGTGCGCATGGGCGGGGTTGCAGCCTTTAAAGCCGCCGCTGCACCAAACTTGTGCAGCCATTCGCACTCAAAAAAAAAAAACGCCGATTTCGTCACAGTCGTACGAATGACACAAAACGGATTCTGTGTTATGAGGAGTTTTTGGGCAGATCAATGTCTGAAAAGCAACAAGAAATGACAAGAAATAGCTTAAAATGGACAAAACATGCCCCCCTTGTGTGATTTAAAGATTTAACTAAATTAAAGTCAAACCAAAATGTGTTTTCCCCCAATAATTTATTTGAGGAAAAAATTACACTGAAAGGAAACATCCGCTCCGTTTGGGTGAAGCAGACAGACGGCTTGCGCCCTCTGGTGGAAAACACGCGCACTGCATAGTTAAAAAAAAAAATAAAAACACTCGCACACAATTTTAATACAATGCTGCGACACATTCTTCTGCGAGTGCCTTTATATTGAATTAAAATAGTTTAATATATGTGATAAATGGTTCAGAAAATGGCTGAACGTTTGTAAGAAAATATTTCAACCCCCCCCAAAAAAGACATATAGCTTCCTTAGCCAGATAGTAAGACCAATTAGCTGAATTACAGTAATACAGTATAATTAACGTGAAAGACGGAAAACTAGCTCACGTACACTCTATAAACTGGCTTAGACACGTTTAAAATGACTCGTCATTTTCGAAAACAGCTCCCCCACCAAAAAAAAAAAATATATATATATATATATAT